GTGAGAGAGAGAGAGAGAGAGAGAGAGAGAGAGAGAGAGAGAGAGAGAGAGAGAGATTGCAACCTTCAAATGGTGTGTGTATGAGGGTTCATGAGTGCATGCATATGGACTGGTGTAATGCAACACATTTACATACTTTGAGTTTCAAACGCTGATGAAAGCATACTGCTAAGTTTATCTTATTGTTCTCATATCTGCCTAAAAGAAAACTTGAATAAAATATATTAAAAAATCCAGAGTGAAAAGGTTAACAGTATCTTCAGATTGATGTATTTTCATGACATATTCTGATGAATAAAGCAATGAAAGGAAGAAGAAAACAAAGCAGATGTCAAGGGCTCTTGATTTCAATAAGCCCCCCCCCCCCCCCTTTTTTTTTTCAGTATTAGACGTGATTATCAGTCAGGCCAGTAGCACACATGCAGTTTGGCCGTTTTGGGATCCCAGCACATTATGTTGAAATTTTCATTCAGATAATGCTTTCTTTTCAGACTGGATGTTTCTAAATTCAAACAAATTAAACTCAACACTAAAAGCGGCAACCTTTTCTACATACCTCTAACTTGTTGCAACTGAAAGCTTGTGAGGTTAGTAGGAAGCCAGTCAAGTGTGTTGGCACCTCGATTCGTCGGAAAAACCACACCTGAAATACAACAAGTCATTTGTTTGTTTAGTACAGGGTTTTACGGCGCTCGCAACTGCATAAGAAGTCATTTGTTGTGAAAACATCAAATAGGCAATTTTACTTAATAACATATGTCAAGATGCGCTGGAATCAGGCGCTCATCAATTTTTGTACACATAGAGTTATTGGTATCATTTTAAGGCTTTGTCATTTGTTTTGCTTTCGGTGAAAAAAACTCATCTGTCATGAATAGCAGTCAGGATATTTCCGATTTAAGGAGATAGGGGTCGCTTGGTTTCAGAAGTAAAATTAGCGAGAAAATGGCCGCCAAAGTTTGGCCACCACCAGAGCTTGAGAGTGCTAAGAAACTGTAAATTTACATTTTCTTGCCATAAATCAACATTTTTCACTAAAATCCACTCAAAAATGTATTTTAAAATGGACCTTAAAGGTATTGGTGTGTCCCACGCGCTCATATGAGATGACCTTATGCAGTTGCAAGCACTGTAAAACACTTACAACACCCCCCCCCCCCCCAAAAAAAAAACCACCACACAACCCCCAGATCAAAGCAACACCCACCAGGTTCCAGAAGATGATGGGGTGTTCCTCCACAAAGGCGTCCTGAGCCAGACAGAGGTTCCCCTCGTGGTCCAGGACGTACTCCACCTCCTTACGCAGCACCAGAGGACTCAAATAGGCCACCACCTGGGGCTCCCGCGAGGAGGCTGACCTGCAAGAGGCACAGAAACACAACACGCTGGATGACACACACGTGGTACGGCAACATTGTGCACTTGTAAGTAGTGAGTGCTCAAAACTTTCACAACTTCTCACACAGACTTTTTCTGGGTAAGATTTACGTCAAACCTGCAAGTCAAAATGAGTAACAGCTACATTCCTTTAAAAAAATCTTATTCAAATTCTTAGCAAATTGCAGCTCAATTTCCAAAGGGGGTGGGAGTGGGAGGGGGGGGGGGGGGATTAATTAATACAAAAGCCTGGTGGACAGCTATGTTGTTCAAAGTTTCTTCAAATTCTCAGCGAATCTTTATTCAATTACAAGGGTGTTCAATTTATGAAAAGCCTTTTGGACAGCTTTGTTGTTCAAAATTTCTAATTGAGCATAGATCTGTATGAGAAGTTTTGTTTTCACCTGAACCCTTTTAGCTACAAAAATATCAGTTTTTCTTTACAGCTCACAGATGGCTAAGGGTACTTAAGAGTCAACTGCTACACCCTCAACACAGATTCATCTATTTAAATTACAATGATATAAGAAACACAAGAAAGCAATCACGTGCAAAGCATTTTCAGAGGAACAATGAGTGGGTAACAAGTAAAGGTTAAATTTTCTACCTGGTTCCCTATTAAAAGAACATTTCCAAGGAGAACAAATTCAGACCAGAAGGGGCAGTCATGCAAAATGAATAGATTCTATTTTAGAAGGTTATGTAGTTAATGAGACAGAGTATATTCCACAGTGAAATATGGACACACAGCACAAAAGACTAATATTCCGTGTTCGCTCATCAGAGACTTTCAGAGCTCTGAAAATGACCAAGTAAATCTCAGGAACCACACACAATCACAACAAGCAAATAACACTCAAACAACCATAGGACAAGGTCAAACAACAGGTGAGAAAAGGGCCCCCACAATATATTTGAAAGTAATTACATTTTCTATGATGGGAATAGATAGCTCTATGATAAAGATCCAGCATCCATTGCAGTATGAAATGGTCGGGAACCTAATAACCAACCAATTTCGGATCAACATTTTCTCACCTGGACATAAACTCTTTGGTCACACATCGCGACTCGTAAGGGTTGCTTTTGCATCCATGCTCAGACTCAAACTCCTCCTCTTCTGTCGACAAGGAAAGCGGAGAGCGCAATGGGGCGTGGCGCGTGGGGCTGTCGATGGCCGAGCCCAGCGAGATGTTGTCAATGGCCTGAGTCAGACACTCACTGGTGCAGCGGCGCCGCATCGTTCCAGCAGCCTCCTCCAGGCTCAGAGGCATCTCACCTTTTTCCAGGGAACTGTGCTCTGGCTCAGCGACGGGAGAACCATCGTCTCCGATCTGTGGGCAGGAACACAGGTTGTGGGGATGTGAAGAAAAAAGGTGAAGAAAGAGGGACAAGAGGGAGGGGGGGATAACAGAGGAGAAAGCATTTGTGGAAGAGAGAGAGAGAGAGAGAGAGAGAGAGAGAGAGAAAGAAAGAGAGAAAGAGAGAGAGAAAGAGAGAGAGAAAGAGAGAAAGAGAGAGTTAGGAGAGCCTAACATCTTGAAACACCCTCAAGAGAGATGCGCGTGCGCGCGCGCGCACGCACACACACGCACACGCACGCACACACAGACACAGAAAGAGCAGGAGAGGGGGGAGAAAGAGACAGACAGAAAGTACATTTATCTATATCTCTTGCTCCAGATTCTAATATTAAATTGAGCTGAGCTTATTTTTGTGCAAAAGACCTTTACCTGTATTACCTGTCCTGGGCAACAATGTCATTGCACACCGGACAGGTCCATAAGTGCTCAGTACCCCCCAGCACCAAAGCCCGCAAGGTATCCATACTGATTGTTCCGGTGGCTGTCTGATTATGGCGACGTCTTTCCTTTCCAGATAATCGTCCCTTTCTTCCCTCTCCCGTCCCTATCCCCATTTCCCGCATCCTAATGATTGCGTGGTGTTCTGCTGTCTCCTTGTCTTCTTCATCCCGCAACTTTTTCTCCAGGGTCTTCAGCACTTCTCCTTTGTCAAATTTCACCTCACCATCAGCCACGGCACTGCCTGCCAGCCTATCAGCCTCCTCATTGCCTTTCACTCCAGAGTGCCCAGGACAGAATATCCACGTGATGGCTGTACGTGACGAGTGTTGTATTGGGTTCATCCACATGTATCTAAGTTTATTCTTTTCTTTCCTTTTCAAAAAGGACATAACAGTCCACTGTAATCCTGCACTAAACAAAATTCTCACCTGGAAGTCGACCTTGGAGCTCTGGCTGGCATCCATCGGACCCGAAGAAGCCAAAAGTTTCTCCTGTGGTGTCGTTCCCATGTCTCCACTGAACACCACACTCTTCTTGTCACCCCGCCAATCCTATCAGAGGAGATACACAAGCTTGATTTACTACAGTCTGACATGTTTTAGATATTGAAAATGCAAATAAGGCCTACATCATGGTCCTTAATATAAATAAGTGATAAGGGTAATGTATTTAACTAATTTTATATTTTTTTAAATTCACACTTTCTTCCAACAATTTGAGAGAAAAGTTTTTAAAAGCCTGTCCTGAGGATTAACGGCTCTTTTTAGACTAATAATATCCTTTGATATTTATTCAAGTTAATAATTATCCACTGTGTATTGGATCTATGTCAGCACAGCATAGATGAACAGAGTCCAATGCATGAACTTCCTATCCATACACAAAGCGACAAGCTTTTATCTTCTGTCACTCTATGTAAAAGCAAAGCATATCTCAGATCGAGTGAGCCATAATGGAAATAGTCCCCTTCATGGCCTTTTATGAGATAGTACATTGCATCAATGCTATTCACAGGAGAAGGAAATGTAGATGAACAGGTACAGCAATGAAAAGTTTTTAAATGTTTCGAAAAGGAGACTACGTAAAAGGATTATAAAATCAAGGGTACCAAAGGTAAAAATAAGAAAGAAATCTATCAAAACATTACCTTGATGTAAATTTGCAGGTGCGGTACAAACTTGTTGTGGCAATATGGACAACTGTGGGGAGAGGAGAGTCACAAAGTTTAATTTGCAGTGATCTTGGGGTTTTTTTTATATGACTTCAGTGAATATGAACTACATCACAAATGAGACAGCAAAAATGGCAAAATCAAGTATATCAGTCAGTTTTTTGTTGACCATATTTGGGATGAAAACTACTTTAGTAATATCCTGATATCAATAATTCAATACAATCACTGAAAATACTGCTTCCGGTTACATGTAGAAACCCAGAAACAATGGTATAGTGCACAAAGAGCTTTCAAATTTAATAAAATTATTGAAGACAGAAAACAGAAGTTACATCTTAAACAACAATCTTATTTTCTGAAAATCTAACAGGAAAGTATAAAGACAAAACAGCTTTTCTTGATAGTCTGAAGCAAGTTTACAGATGTTGCACTCTCTGACCTGGTGTTGAGGTTGGAGTCCTCCGCAGACCAGCCGGCCATAATCTCCTCGTCGTAGATGAGACGGTTGCACTTGGTGCATCGGGAACACGAGCTCATCTCAACCTCCATGGCCACTTTCAGCAGTTCTTGGCCCAACTGCTCCCCGATGTGGGGAAAGGACCCAGTAAATCCTTCTCTTTGACCACTGTATCCATCCAAATATGAGGGAGAAGGGGCGCTCTCTGCCAATGGGAATAAAAACAAAATAGCAATACAGGGCAGGCTCTTGGTTTTGGCAACTTTGATTTTTTGCACTGAAGTCTCACTATTTCCCCCTGAGCTTCCTTACTCCGGTAAGAAAAGAGGAAAAAAAAACAACCCAAGTCAGCAGAAAATAACAAAATAACTATATAGGGGTACTTGGTTCTGCCAACTTTGATTTCTTCATGTAAATCCCCCTATTCCAAGTGATTCGGTACTCCCATGGGGGGAGGGGAAACAGGGGACAACAAAAAAAACATGCAAAGTCATATGCAATATACAGCACTGGTCTTCAACACATTTGAGATAACAACTTGTTAAGTACTGTTTAGCACAACCTACCCTAAGATTAAGAGAACTGAATCAAATGGTCAGTATGAATGAGTATATTATGTACACTACACTACAAAGCAGTTTGAGATCCAGCACACAGACAAGGTCTGCTTAGTCCACACGCAACAGTTATGAAATTTTCACAAGCCGGCATCATTACTATTTTTTAGCTGCTGTTCAAAGGAATAAGCACAAGCACAGACAGGGAAAAAAGAAACGAGAATTTTCCTGATGCTTTATACATTTCCTTGATATTACCATTGTTGCCTACAACTTATTGAAGGGCCATGCTGATCAAGAAGTTGGCGAGCTCAAGTTTGGAACAATGTCAAGCAATGTCAGAGATGGGTGGGCACTTAGGAGTGTCTTTGAGCAAGACATTTATAACCCAAACAAACAAAGAACATGTTTGAAAATTGTATGCGTGGGTTGATTCAGTATGCCACGCGACATTGTTGTGACTTTAAAATTATTTTATGTAAGCATGGTACATGCCAATAAAACCCATGGAGGTAAACAAAAGTGGTATGAGATGCTACAACAGTCTTGACAAGGAAAAGCAAGAAGAACATGCATACAGACTGGAAAAAAACTTGCATAAAAGAGTCAGACCAGAAGACATAAGATTCTTTTCTTTTAAAGTTGTCTTCTATATGGACACTTTTCCTCTCCTTTTTTATGAAAACGAAAGTTTTAAAACAAAATGTCTTACTGCGCTGAAGGATATCAGTCCTAGGGGATGACATTGTGGGAAAGCTCAGAAAATTTTCAAGAGATGAGAAGAATGCTCGAAAACATAAATTTGTATCTTGGAAAACTAATTTGACAACAAGTCAACAATAGATAGAAAGGAAATGGAAATGTAACATACTTAGGTTCAGTAGAATAAAAGCTATATTGTAATAAAACAATGAAAGGTTTTTAACTATCAACACCAATCAAAGATGACCAGAACTTGCTGGATACAGCACAAGAACAATCTAACACTACAAGCACCTACTATGCAGCTTTATTGATTTAAGATGCTCATTTAACTCTAGCACTACAACAGAGTCAGCCTAGGATAAGGGGTGCAGAAAAGTAAAGCCTACCAAAAGACAGGCCAGAGAGTCGTTTGTCAGTGTCCTCTGCCTCACTCTCTTCACTGTGACTCAACAAGTCCTGGCTGCCTGCATGGCGCGGCCGGTCGCGGATGGTGCCACTGGTGCTGCTGCCGTCGTTACAGTCCAGCTCTTCAATAGACTGCGTGAGCGAGCCCAGGGAGCCCAAAGAACCATTCCTCATTGGAGAAGATATTGTCTGCTTCAGCTCACTGAGTTTGTTGTACGCAGCCCGGGAGGCAAATTTGAGAAAGCTTCCTATTGCTTCATTTGTCTTCTTCAAGCTCGGAGTTCTTTTCAGCATAAAATCGGAGGAACGTTCCCGTTTTGAGTCAGTGAGAGAGGACACAGACTGCGTGTCCTCAGCGGGAGCTTTCTGAGGCGTGCGCGGCTCGACTGGTAGGTCACATCCTGGAGAGCTCAGGGTTCTGCCCGTCTCGCTCAGGGACTGTTTCATGGGCACAACTTCATTGAACTGACCACTCAGACGGTCTTCTGAAATAGACACAGAACGCCTCATTTCTCGGCGGCTGGTGGTATCGCTAGTACTGTTCTCCCTGGAATGACGCAATAATGGCGTTGAAGGGTTGTTGTCAACAGCTAAATCTGCAGACTGTCCAGACACAGTCTGGCTTTCCGTTGGTTTTTCAAGCTCTTCTTCTGATATTGGAAGACTTGAGGCGGCAGCAGGCGTGGAAGGTACAGACGAGTTGTTCGACCGCTGTTCTGTGGGTACATTATGACTAGAGTCAGACTCAGGGTTGCCCACTGAATCAGATGAATGTTCTGCATTGGCACCGCACAAATGGTCTGTTGTGGACTCCCCAGAGAGAGGATCACTGTCCAGAAAAAGTTTATTGTTGGAGTCTTCTTCTTCACAAGAATTTGGCACAGTATGACTAGAAGTTTTGACTACAACAGTCTGTGAGCTTTGCTCCGTCTCTTGAAGTGATGTTGAACCAGTATCGAGGTCACTGAGTACACAATTGGTCACAGGTTCCACACTGCTAATACTGGCAGGAAAGTTAGAGGGGACACCATCAACACTGTCTGCCCCGACACATTGTTCGGAGGAAAGTGGGCTGCCAATGATCGAATTATCATCTTCTTCGGTCTTCATAAGATCTGAGTACCTAAGTTTAGATCGCTGTGTCCGACTGACTGACCCATCATCTGCATGCCCGTTGTTTCTTGGAGGACGCCAGCTGGCGAACAGGCTCATGGAGCGAGATGGTTTTGAGTGGTTTTCTCCCGCACTGCGATGCCGTCGCCGCTTAGCCTCCGCCACCTGTAGCCGAACGTCTGTGTCAGGTGAGAATGTGCGGTGCTCCACACATACTTGACTCACCATCACCAGTCCACACGAGTTACTCACTGCACAGAAACAAAAAAAATAAACATATCAAGAAACCTGCGGCCATTTTGTGGTGAAATGACAAAAGGATAGTACTTGATGCCTTTTTTTTTTTTAAAGGACCTAAAAGGGCAATAATTTGGTCATCTTCGATCCAATTTCGACAAAACTCCCAACAAATAGAATTAAACCAGGATGACGTCACATTTGTCAGTCTGAAGAAAATCAACCAACTTGTTTGAAAAATACCAAATTTAAACATTCTTAACCAAAATTGAGAGAAACACAAAACTTTGCAACTTTGAACATATTTCAATTACTCACTAACTCTGTTGTATTTTATAAAAGGGATTTTAATTTATTAAAGCTTTTTGTGTCAAAAAGGATAACTTGACCTGCAACCATAGTTTGCTGCAACACTCAGTTGCTTCCAAATCCATAATATACATGTATTAATACACAGTCATTTAGTACAATGACATCTAGGATTGAGCAATATCACAAGACTAGGGTGGCCCCCATCTTGGTTCATCGCAAATACTGGCTGAAACATAAAAATGAAATCCTTTTAATATTGGGATTTCTGATCAACTTTAAAAAAAAATTCCTTCGTAACTGACCCCTGGTAAGAGTCGAATAAGCAGATATATAATATTGATCAAAATTCTGGTACCAGCATATAAATAAGGCAGATAACGATCTGCTCAGCTTATGATGTGATGCAGTGAAAATAATAGATCAGACTGGTGGAGAGAAAAGAAAATCACTTACACACTGCTCCTTTCTGTAATTCAAACTCATCAGCGTCAGAGCTGCTCCTGTTACGGGATCTCTTCACAATGCTGCCAACTCGAGGCCGGTTGGAAATGTGAGTGTGTTTCTCATCTTCCACAATGTGCACCTCTGAACACCCCATCAGCAAAGAGAGAGAAGGTAAAAAAAGGGGGAAACAAATAAAACAATGAAGAGAACATCAACAACAGGAGAAACAAGAGGCACTCTTTGAGTAACACTTCCAACATGTGCAACAGTAACATTCAAATAAGAACTTTAAAAAGCTAATACAAAGAATTGGGCAACTTTTGTGATAATTTCAATGGCAAAGGATTTCATTTCATGTTTGTGACAATTAAAGTTTAGAAGCATTTGACTTTGGATTTCATAATTAAAATAAATTTTCTTGTCTGGACAAGATGAAATGTTTAATTATGTAGAACCACTCTTTGGTAGCATCAAATGAATATTCATTTAATGGTACAAGAACTAGCTTGAAAGGTAAAACCCAAGAGATGCTGAATCCATAACAACAGCAAAAACAACAAAATAAAAAACAAGACAGTTTAAAGAAAACTGATTCTCACCTTTCTTAACTCTTTCTGAGGCTCTCCTCTCTTTGCCGTGAGTGAGGTTGCCAAAGAAACTGAGAGGCCCCCAGCCCTCTCCTTTGCCCTTGCCTGTTGTGGTGTCCGAGGCATCGCTGGTTGCCGGAGAGCTGGCACTCCCAGTGTCATCTGCCGAGATGACCATCTGTGACAGGCGCTTCACGTCCTCCTGTGTCATGGAGTTGTAGCCACGGTCTGACACACCACCTGGAGACATTGTGGGGAAAATTGGAAAACTATAAGCATGTTCACCTGCCATTCTCTCTATTTTATCCTGTAATAAACCTTCTCATATTTTTCAGCAAATATTAAGCTTTTTATTGTTTACATAACTCAGAGAAGCATTAACATATTCATTTCTATTCCTTCAAGTCATGCAATTATTATCATCCATGATTAACACAAGCATCTTCTAAAAATATAGTTCATCTATACTATCCAGCCCTACCAGGGATCCAGTGGTAGAGTGGTTCAAAAATACAAGTTCATGAAGAATATCAAGCAGTCAGTGCAATATCATAAAGCTGTCCCGGGGAAGAATCCTCGAACAAGCTTTATGAACCCTAGCTTAAATGTTAGGTGCTACAATGCAGTTTTGTGTAATTATTATTTTTAGCATGCATTCGATCAAATCACTGAAAAACAAATTTTGACACAAGTTAAAGTAAAATTGTATTTCCTTTCATTTCTTTTTCTTTGACTTGAGGATAAGAGAAGCACATCAATCCAATGACAGTCATTTAGTGCATAAAAAAGGCAAGCCAGACCCGCTGACACAAACAACGGAGGGACTGAAAAAAAGTCAAACCTGCCAGCGAAGCCCTCCAACAACCAGTATATTATTTTTCTTCTTTCAACAACTACTGAGGCTCTGAAATCCCTTACTCAGTTGGCCATTGTACCTGTGCTCATTCTTTCTTCCAGACTTCCACTGTTCTTACTCGTGAGGTCCCCAGCTGTGGTAGGGTCCCGCACGACAGGGCTCGAACCCTCATCTCCTGTGGCCACGACACCCTCACTGCCAGCCTTGACTGGAGCTTGGGAGGTCTCCCCAAGGTAACTGTCTGCACTGGCATGACTTATGCGGTCAAATTCACTGCCTGAATTGGAGTAAATAGACAAGCTGCGTCGCCGCACAGCTCGGCGAAACTGGGCCACTCCAATAATGACGTTGCGAATCTTGAGCCAGCGTAGGCGTGCTTTGGACTGTGGGGATGGCCACTTTGCTTCCAACATAACCTGATGGATGACAATGGAAAGATAACGTAGTCAAATTTAACACAACATTTTTGACAACCATACACTGACAGAACAAGACTATGCATACTTCAATTTTTTAAATAATAATTGTGGAAACACACACCAGTCTCATTACAATACAAGAAGAAACCCATAACTTTCACATGCTTTCTCCTGTTAGCTCTTAAATTAACCATAAGACTTCACTACTCTCTATTTTTTTCACCCTCTTGACAGATCTTTACAAAACACAAATTAATTTGCTCTCTTTTTATTTCATTTTTTTTACTTCAAATATGTTAGTGTTAACTATTTCAACCACACATATTGTCCTTGAGCATGAAATATAACGTAAATATTCCATTTTTGACACTATTAATACAAAATGACAATTCAAGCCTACGTTTGTTTAATAAATATAGTAAGCATTTTATGGCCTTTACAACACAATTAGGCATTATAAATGCCAATGATTAGAGGTGTTACAAGTGAGTAACAAACACAAAAAAGGAAGAGATATAAGGACGATAAATGTTTGATAGGAAAGAAAGAGAAAATCACACCAGAGCACCCGCCAACCATCCACAGGCCTTCATTTAACCACAGGTTAGGTTACCTTGTTGTAGTAGCCATAGGTGATGGCATTGGGGTGGACACCATGTTTCTTCATCTGAGAGAACACCTGGACTGCCAGGCCCGGCTTGTTGTACTGACCAGCCAGCTGCATGAGCACCCGGTAGCACAGCTGTGAGGAGACATGATCTATATGAGATTTCCATTTGCCATATGTACACACATTACAATCAACTTATTGTCAACTCCCTTCAGACCTCTTTTAAACAAGGCGAAAAGAAAGACAGGTGGTGCAGGGCAAAGAATAAAAAATTGAGACAAAAATTAGCAGACAAATAGTTCATCATCAAAAGAGAGGAGAATGTAAAAAAGCTCGCACTAAAATAACTGTCAACAGATGCTACATCCATTACTATTGTTTGTCTTTGCAAGAAAAAAAATAAAACAACATCGACACCAAGAGATGCCATTAGGCCTGAACATTTTTTATGGAACTTTTTTTTCTATCTCGCTGCCACAGACCAGAGAGACTCTTTCGCTTCCAACTGTACTGCTTATCAACAGCTTGTGGTAAGATTCTGCCATGCGTCACTTTTCAAAATGGCGTGTGGCAGAGTCTTACACGAAGCAGTCAACATATCAAAATTTTCAGGATACACCTAGTGCTGAATTTTTCAGTCCCCTATCCAAATATAAAAACGGAAATACAAATAAATCAAAGACAGTACAAAAGGAAATCTTTACAACTGTTAACAAAGGTAAGTTTCTCTTCGCGAGACAAACAAAGACCAGAAATATCACGGCAAGATTCCCTGCAACTCACCTCATCCACAGTCAGCAGTTTCGCTTCCTGCATCTTCCTCAAGACAGCAAACCCAACCTTCAGGGCCTCTAGTTTCTTGGGATGTGACTGGACAAACGATGGGAACACCACAAACCACAGACTGTAACAATAACTCAACAGGCACCTGCCAAGCAGGAAATAAAGGAAAAGAATAAATAGAATAGTGGCACAATGAAAAACGCAGAGATCATTTTCCAAAGTTCCATGCCCCCCAACTAAATTTGTACATTTTCAAAAAAATTATAAATGGCTTCAAAGTGTTCATAAAACACACTGCACATAAATATGTACCAACACTTATCCAACAAACTGGCTCAGATTCATAAAAGGTACAGTTGAAGTCAACATGCCTATCACTGCTTAAGAGCAAGCATGATTTGTTGCTTTTCAGGTGAACATCTAGATAGAAGTAGCTGAAGCTCATGGTTTTATAACAGCCAAATGTACTAATAGGAAACACCCTAATGAGAATGTACTTGTTTCTATTGAAGTGTGTAACATAAGAAAGGAATATGGAATGGTATGGTATGGTACGGCACGGTACAGTATGGTATGGTATGCCACTATATAAACTGAAAGCAGGGTTGAACCTGCGCAAACAGAGGAGGAAAAAAAAAAAAAACACCCGTAAAAAATAAATGATCTTTATTCCACCTAAAAATAAATGTCTGAGGAAAAAGGAGCTTACTTGGACCAAGTCTCAGGATCTCCAGCCTGCTGTAAGGCCATCTGTGAAAGATAAAATTGACATAAAAATCCGGAGGTCATCATAACAGAGCTTACCTGAAATAAAGATACAGCAAATTAGTTCATGATTTTTAATGCTTTCCGAGATATTTATGTAGAAGGTAAAGAGTGCTAGGTAGAAAGAGGAGCAGGCAATTGAGAGGACAGAAACCATCAGTGACAACCAAATACAGTTGAATTTGCTCTAACAGTCGTCTGCATAAGACAATCACGTGTAAACACAACCACTTCCCATTCCCCCCCTCTTGTTTTTTTTAACATGATAATGACACTGTGTAAAACGTCCCAATTTTATCCTCTACAATGGGTGGCCATCTCAGGCAGCTTCCACTGTACTCATTTTTCCTACAAAAATACATTCAGTTCTCTTCGCACCTATACATATAAAAATTTTCCGGACCACAAATTTCCCAGAAACCTGTTCACAACATCGGAGAAAACACTGATATAAACCATGAAGGAGATAGGATCTGTTGCCAGTACCTTCTGAGCAGACTTGACCTCCTGCTTGGTGCGTCGAGCTAGAGGGCTATTGGGACACGTGGGTTTGGCTGGCACAATCAGGGACTCTGTCTTCTTCGGAAGGAACAGCTCAGACTTCAGCTCTGGGAAGCCATTGTAGCTGAAACGGCAACACAATTATAATTTATTGCAAATGAATAGCCACATGGGAAAGCAGAAGAGAAATGTTTTTAGTTTTAGTTTTAGTATGAGCTTTATAGCACTAGCAGCTTGCAACATAATAAGGACATACAAGTGCTGAAGATTAGAAGTGTTACAAAAGAGTAACAAACACAAAAAGAGATAAGGACAATAGACGTTTGATAGGAAAGAAGGAGCAAACCACACCACAGTACCCACCAACCATCCACAAAGAAGATAAAAGACTGAGTAAATAAGTTTGTTTGAGTAAAATAGATACACATCAGTACTATAATGGTTATTCAGTACTCCAGAAACAAAGACTGACAGAAATAACAACACAAAGCACAGTAAAGAAGCAAGATCTATGAGTTGCTCCCTGCAGCTAGGCATAATAATATGGGTTTTTTTAGTAGAGGTTTTACGGCGCTCGCAACTGCACAAGGTCATATGAGCGCCAGAAGATTAGAGGTGTTACAAGAGAGTAACAAACATAAAAAAGAAGAAGGGGAGATAAGGATGATAGATGTTTCATAGGAAAAAAGAAGCAAATCACACCAGAGCATCCGCCAACCACCCACATAATATGGTTGGACAACGCAATAAAGGAAAAATCACAAAATAACAAATGTTCTTTATTTACGAGAGCTGAAGACATCTGGCCTGAAAGAAAAGGTAAAGAAGCCAGTTTCATAGATGTTAGATAGAGATTGATGACTAAAACACAAAACTCATGGCGATAGAATTCCACAGGGACACAGAAAATTCAGAAATCAACATGTGTGACACAAATTTATGATGATTTGTCACAACACACAAAGTGTAAACAATTAACGGGGGTATGCAGAGTTTTATATAGTCATACATACCTGTATTTGATCCCTTCAGGCAGGCCCGTAGGCTCTGGGGGCATGATGAATACAGTGCGCTCGCTGAAGAAGAGAGGAAAAAACACAGCATAACTAACAAATATCAACTCAAATTTCG